ATATATATATATGTATGTAATTGCGCACATGTGGATGTTTGTTTTCTATAGCTAAAAAAAAGTACGGAACGTACAACCATGAAAAAATTACCGAAGGTAGTTCAAAGACCAAGCTAAGTCTCTATCAAAATCAGTAAGTGCTTGCATTCGCCAAAAAAAAGAGAAACAAAGAAGAAACATAGAAAACACTATCGGCCGTTTACGATTTTCCCGTTCGTCATTTCAAGGCATTGTTCAAGACATATTTCGTTTTCCATGATACAAAAATTGATCCCCCGCCGGAAATAAGCAAATCTTCTTTGGGCGCCTACAGTTGAGACGTTGCGGATCGCTTACAGAGAGAGAGAGAGAGAGAGAGAGAGAGAGAGAGAGAGAGAGAGAGAGAGAGAGAGAGAGTTACTTTTCTGTGGTAGTTAGACTTAGAAGATGTATCTTTGTGATAGATTTAGGTCTAGAGCTAGAGATACTATGCTACCAAACGGCAGGTCTGATTCTGATTGGCACATGTGTTGTGGATAAGTCTGTGATAGATTTTGATTTAGAGGCTGTGCTGTGGAACAACTACGACATGAAGATCAGCATCAACAAAACAGAGACAATGAAAGTAAGCAGAAAGCCAGGACCACTCAGGATACACACTAACAACAACAGTCTCAGACAGGTCCAAGAATTTTAGTATCTCGGAAGTATATTCACAGAGGATGGGCGACTTAACAGACAAATTGAAACACGAGTACAAAAGGCAAATTTTGTTAGTTGCCAGCTTACTCCACTACTGAAACATCCTAATATCCCCATGACAACAAAACTCAAAGTGATCAACACCATATTCATCCCAACACTCATTTATCAATGCCAAACATGGACCACAAACAAGAATTAGAGCAAAGAATTATAACATGTGAAATGCGATGCCTAAGAAAAGCAGTAAACAAGACCAGACCAGACAATTAGAAACTCATTAATCCGAGAAATGGTCGGCACAGATGATGTCATGCATCACATCCAACACCAAAGAATCAAATTGCTCAGACATCTCCTCCGATAACCAACACACCATCCAAAAATTCGATGTCAACAAGGTTAGAGGGCGACCGAGAAAGACCTGGATATATGGAGTCAGGGAAACATTAACCACCCAGGGCATCCCCCGCGACTTTTATTTTACCCAGGCCGATGTCAACTGGTACATTAATTATTGTAGTGGCCAAAGCTTATTATTCGAGCAGATTTTCGTTTGATGAGTACACCCAAGCCAGATTAATAAAAATATTCCTATCCAACGCGCTCATGCACACCAGACAAGGTGAATAGGTACACTTATGACACGGGAGACTCATAGATGTCTACAGAACATCCTCCCCATAGACATTATATTATTATAATATCCAAGATTGTGCGCTCTGACGTAATTCCAGCTCACTGTGGAGTTTATTCATTTGATTCTATTCGAAACCAGACTACGAAGGTCAAAAAGTGAAAGGTTGGGCGTGCACTCAACTATAGCGAGACTGGTGTTTTAACCTGCATTCAAATTTTGCTCGCCACACTGTATAAACATACAGAGAGAGAGAGAGAGACAGAGACAGACAGAGAGAGAGAGAGAGAGAGAGAGAGAGATAGGGAGAGAGAGAGAGAGAGGGATAGAGAGAAAGACAGAGGGAGAGGGAGAAAGACAGACAGAGAGAGAGAGAGAGAGAG